TGGGAGGAGGCTGTGAGGGCCAGCTCTTACAGGCTGTACATTGACGATGGCAGTCTGGGTGGGTTGTTCGCCTTGGCTTATGAGGGGACAGAATCGGCCTATGTCGCGACGGGCCTGCAGGATGGCAGCTACTATCGATGGAAGGTCGGTGCTGTTAACGGTGGTGGTCAGGGGCCCAACTCGACAGCCTTCACAGCTCTGATGCGATGTGTACCAGTGGCTCCTTCAGCGGCTCCGACCAAGACTGCGGGTAGCCCGTGGACACTGGACGTAGGTGGAATGCGTCGCTCTATGGCTTTGAAGGTTTTTGTATCAGATTACGTGGCTACCAGTGAGCGACGATTGCGGCTCGGCCGTGTTGGGTTACCGAGTTTATCGCGATGCGCAACTAGTCTATCCTATCAGCAACGCCTTCCTGAGACCTCCTGTTTTTGCTGGTGAGGTATATAGAATCGCCCTTACCGGGAACTGAACCCGGGTGCTTCGGTGTAGGCCTGATTAGCTCCCACACTGTCTCTCTGGACATTATTCCTGCTGAGGACGGCTTTGTATGGTTGCAGCTGAGCACAGCAGCTCAGGACACACTGACGGCCTTTGATGTCGTCTACGGTCGAAACAAACATCCAACTTGGCCGCAGGTGGGCGAGGGGATCAGCCATGTGCTGGGAGCAGCGATTTTCAGGAGTCCTGCAGAGTTTCAAAGCGACAGTTGACCGGCGGCCAGGTCACTCGTTTAACAGTTCATCAGTGTGGGATGAAGCCTGGAGAGCAGTACTGGGCCCATGTCTATCTCGAGGGCATGGACGGTGGGGACGGCGATGGGGCCTTATGGAGTGGCATCCCTGTGCCGGTCCCTATGAGGATCTCGAGCCACTTCTGGGAAGAGCCCAGGATTGTCAGTGTTACCACGAACAGTGTGGAGGTCCGGTTTGGGGCCAGTGCTGGTAGCGGCCGAGCCTGGATGCAGGTGAGGGTTCGCTTGTCGAGACTTGTGTGAAGCCATCAGTGTTGGAATATACGTTCGGTTTCCTCCACTAATTATGGAAATTTACACGTGAGTTCGAGTAGAAGTGTTCGAAAACCAACGAAAATTCCCAAGAATTCCCTCAAAATTTCCATATCATCCTACGGATGTGGTTTCCTATGTGCACATTTTTCCAAACTGGGAGTTAAAGTTTTCATACCATCTTTTCGTCACATCTGCTTTAGAGTGGATCTTGGTAAGGCGGCCGAATTCAGGTGGTGTCCGAGCACGACATGCTCTATGTCAACGCTACTGCTGTGAAGGTTGGTTACAGACGACATGGTCAGTGTGGGACGACGGAGGACGGCATTTGGGTGGTTCAGAATGTGACCAACAAGATGCTCACGAACTGCAATTTGAATGGGTCGGCAACTTATGTTCTCTTCGTGTACATCGAGGACGTTCTGGGCCGCAACGACGGTAGCTTGAGTGGTCCTTTGAAGTTCACAGCGCCAGCTAGTAACGATTTTGAAACAAGTCGATATCGTGGCCCGAGGGTCTACTCTACGCCGCGGTCCGCTTTGGTCCAGTTGGCATTTACCCCGACCACTACGGGGAAGTACTGGGTCTCGGTCGTCGATGGTGAGGACGTTGGTAGTCTCAAGACCATAGGCAGTATTAAACTGTTACAAGATGCCTTGTGTGGGCTCACCGGCCAGGCAGTCAATGCGGCTGTTGATGTTATGGTGACGTTGAGAAGCTGTGGTTTGTCGGCAGGAGTGGCCTACTGGGCCGCAGTGTATGTGGAGGATGGTCGGGGCTATGGTGATGGGACTCTGTCGAGGCCTATGTCACTTCGTATCATCTCGGAGAACACGTCCAACTACTTTTTAGTCAACCCGAATATTATGAACTTTCCCACGGTTGCTCGGATCGAACTGAATTACACAGCGGCGACTAATGGGAGATTGTGGGCGGCGGTGGTCCCGGAAGAATCTTCGACGTGCGTGTCATTGGACCAGGTGAAGCGACAAGAACTTGGCCCACAGGAGCCGGTCGAGTGCGGTGTGGTCGGGTTGGTGGTCTCTGGCGGAACCACTAGTGTGCTCACTATCACAGGGTGTTCGTTGGCTCGAGGCAACAGATATGCAGTCTTCGTGTATGTTGAGGATTTTCTCGACTTGGGTGACGGTACCGTGTCACCATCAGTGACGTTCGTCCTTGGCCCTTCCAATACGTTCGTGTCGTTGCCGTACCTCCACAACCCTCCGACTGAGCGTGAACTACGGCTGAGTTTTCAGGCCAACGCCACGACTGGTTTCATGTACGCGTCTGTGGTGAATAGAGTAGACAGCTCAGCCGTCAGTGTTGATGCTGTCAAGACTGGGACCTTGGCCGTGGGGGGTCCGGGCTGTCGGTACCATAACATGACCATCGATACCACCCTCTTATATGTTATATTCAACTGCAGTCTTGAGAGAGGCAAGGCATACGACCTCTTCGTGTACGTCGAGGACGCCTATGGTCTGTCGGACGGGACGCTGGCCTCGGCGGTCGAAGTGGTCGTGCCGGAGGCGTCGTTTGGTTTCGTCGTTGGTCCGATGGTCTCGAGCTCAGCAACACGTGATGGTGTCACGGTGAGGTTCACAGCTGCTCCCACTGATCCAGTGTGGTTAAGGGAAGGTGGTCCTGACCTCGAAGCATGGACTGGTCAGGCATGGATATCGATCATTCGGGCGAGCGCGATGGGTTTGGTGGCCATATCTAATGTGAAGAATGCTACATATGGTGTTGGTCATGGTACGGAATGCAGGCGGAGCGGAGTTTTGGTGACGAATTTGACTGAGGTTACGCTGACCAGCTGCTCATTGGAACATTCGGCCGAGTACGTCGCGAGCGTTTACGTGGAATCGCAGGATGGACTCTACGACGGTCGGCTGGCCTTCACGGAACCGTTCACGGTGGTGGCTGGTACGTCCAACAAGTTTGCTCACCGTCCAGTGGTGGTGACACCAGTAACCACGGGCGGGTTTGGGTTCAGCTTTAGAGCCGAGTCGGTTGGGCTGTATTGGGCCATGGTCCGGGAGTACACTGCAGGCGTGCCGACGATCGCTGATGTTATGGCTGGTGTGGGGGCGACTGGAGGCGTGGGGTGCCGTATTGTAGGAGGAGTGGCCACGGCTGATAACGAGACGGCTTATCTGACGGGTTGCCAGATGGTTCGGGACCAGGACTATACCCTGTATGTGTACGTTGCGAGCGCTGATGGGTACGGTGATGGTTCCTTGTGGTTGCCGGGAGTACACTTCCGCACGCCACAGTCCAACAGCTTCCTCAGACCGCCAGGTCCGTACATCTGGCCGAGTCCACCGTCTAATACAACAGTGACGGTAGAGGGGATCGCCACGGTCGAGTCGGGGTTGTTGTGGATGGTCGTGACCCTCAGGGAGGACCGGGACTTGATCACCCCTGCTACTATCAAGGTGGTACCACCACTGTATTCGGCCGGCTGCTATAGCCAGAGCGTGAGCGTCACGGCGGGGACCAACCTCAGTGGTGGTCTCAACGTTCTCAGTGGGTGTGGTCTGTGGTCGGGCGAGAGGGCGCGGTACACGCTGAGCTTGTATGTGGAGGATACTCTGGATGGGAACGATGGCAGTCTGGAGCAGATCGATTTTGTGACCAAGGGCTCCAACTTCTTTCTGGGGACCACGCCTATGGTCTACAATGTGACGGCTGACGGGTGCGATGTGGACACCAGGGTTGGGACTGTTGGAAGACTGTGGATGTTCATAGTCCCGGAGGGATGCCACCACAATCAAACCGCCACATCGGCCAAGGCCTTGGACTGTCGGGTTGGGGTCGCAGGCTGTTACTATGAAGGGGAGGCGATTGGTCCGGACCAGCCCTATAGGGGCCTTAGGAACTGCTCATTGAATGTGAATGAGAACTTCTATCTGGTGGTTTATGTGATTGACGGGACCAGTGGGGACGGTCTGGACGGTCAGCTGGCCGTTGTTGGTATAACTGGTCAGGCTGTGGTCGCCAACACGACGGGGAATCACTTCTATGAGGGAAGCCCTTTCATTGCTGCTACACCTGATGGGGATGTGGTCACCTTTGGCGTCAGGGTGGTCCGATCGGGGTATGTGTGGGCTGTGATATGGGATGGTCAGACCGTGGTCAGTCGTGATACGATCATGACTGGTTCGGCTGCTGCTGCTGGTCGACCACAGTGTAGGATTGAACGGTCTGGTATAGTAGGCGAGGTGGAGAGGTCCTTTACTATGAGAGACTGTGGTTTGGTCCATGGTCAGCAGTATAAGCTCTTGGTCTACGTCTCTGGGACCGTCGGTGACACACTGGGTGAAGTCGCTGAAGCGGTGGTCTTCACGGTGGCACCGGGGACCAACAACTATTTTATAAGACTACCGCAAGTGAATGCTTCTATGGACGCTGGTTTTAACTCGACCACGGTGCGTTTCTGGGCGGCTCGATCGGGGTATGCTTGGGCGATGGTGGTCGCGACCCACAAGCTGCCGATCCTCACAGCGTCGGGCACTATGGCCTTTAGCGAAAGGAGCAACCCTCTGGCTGGGGCCCAAGCGGATAACAACTGCACGCGGGGACCAGAGGCGGTGTACAACGCTAGCTATACTGTGTGGGAACTGCACAACTGCACTGCTGAATTTGGTGGTCGATACAGTGTGGTGGTCTATTTGTCGGGGGAGGCCAAGGGGACAGCTGGCACGATTGGGTGGTCCAACGACTTCACTGTTGGCCGGTCCAACATGTTCCATGTCCGGCCTAAGCTGCTCAGACCGGCGGTCTCGGACGGGGTCTACGTCGAGTTCGCCTGTGTGGAAACGGGACGGTACTGGATGCAGATTGTCACCAAGACCAATGCTAGCAGAATGGACCCACTGGGTATGCGCTCCTGGGGGTCTGCGACTGGTCACGTCGGTAGCTGTATGCGGTTCGACCAGAGCTGTACCTCGCTGGTGGTGGTAGAGGTGGAGTTGTCGGGCTGTGATCTCCACAGTGGTACTGAGTATACGTTGTTGACCTATATAGAGGAAGGCACGCTGGACTTGGACGGCGAGATGGACCGACTTGATTTTTCGGTGGAGGTCGCCACCAGCTTTATCGTTGGGCCACGAGTTGTTGGCATCGCTACGTCGGACGGGTTTACCTTTGAATTCACACCTGCGGCTGTTGGGAAGTATTGGGCCTATGTGGTCCACGAGACCAATGCTAGTCGTGTTGACGCTGGGTCCATCAGGGCCAGTCCTAAGGCGTATGCGGCCACGACAGCAGCAAGCTGTGAGGCTACCGCAGTGGCGATTGGGACCACGGGCCATTGGCCCAACCATGTCACTTCGGTCACCTTCACTGGTTGTGGGCTTGTCAGGACCACCCCGTATTCACTCTTCGTTTATGTCGACGACGACTCGGCTGGTGGTAGTGGTCAGCTGAGTGAAGCGGTACGAGTGTTCGTGGGCAAGTCCAATGACTTCACTAAGAGGCCACAGTTGACCAGTACGCCCACCATCAGCGTTATGACGGTATCGTTTACGCCGGCATCTGATGGTCTGGCTTGGGGGATCGTAGCGGACCGGGGGGCGGTGGTCTCGGTTGATGAGATGAAGTCGGTGGCACCGCCCACGGCCTCAGGGGCGACCAGCACTGTGTTTCAAGGCGTGGGCGTGTCGGCTGGAATTGAAGTAGCGTGGCAGTTTATGGGGACCTACCAGGCTGGTGGTCTCTATAGTGTCCTTGTATATGTAGACGATGGTACCAGTGGTTCGACTGATGGCGAGTTGGCCAGACTGGACGTGACCGTCCCGGTTGCTGTCAGTAATGGGTTCACTACTCACCCGTACTTGAATGGCCTCATAACGGCAGACGGTCTGACGGTATCGTTCGTACCGAAGATGGCTCGAGGAAGGGCCTGGGCCTTTGTGGTGAGGGCCGAGGCTGATGGTGGTCCCCCGACCATGACCGAGTCCTCGGCTAGAATGGGCAAAGGATCCTTGGGTGGTACCCAGTGTAAGAAGTCGGGAGTGTTGGTCACGAACACTGAGCAGACCATGGTGCTCACTGACTGTCAACTGCACCATAACGAGACTTTCTATGTGTGGGTGTATGTTGAGGGGGACTACTATAACGCGGCACCGACCATGCCTGATGGTTCACTGCATTCGCCCTTGGTCTTGGTGGTCCCGCTGGACCCCACGGTCGTGGTCCAGGACACGATGTTGCTGAAGTATAGGGATTACGATGTGAACGAAGGTCGGCTTCTTACGAGTGAACGATCAGTTGCCATTGTTGCTGTAGGATCGTCCTATACGTATACCATTCGGGCCGAGAACGCCATTGGTGTTGGTCACCCATCGCTCATGTCTCAGCCCATGCTGGCTGCGGGACCACCCAGTACGCCATCGTCGCCTCTGTGTACCACGACCACACGGACCATGGCCTTCTTGAGATGGGCTGACCCTGATGACCAGGGAGCGATGGTGAGGTCAATGATGGTGGTGGTGGTCTTGGAAGGCTATGGTGTTGTAGATACGCCGTTATCTATTGGAATCACAGCGTGACAACGGCTCGTGGGAGACGGTGTATTCAGGGGCCAGTACGACCTATATTGCCTCGACGCTCACTACTACGGCCCAGTATAGTTTTAGGCTTGCGGTCACCAACGACGCCGGAACGAGTGAGTCAGGCTCGGTGTTCGCGGGATATATGTCCGCGCTGCTCAGCTGAGCTCTACGAGTTTGGGTAGAAGTGTTTAGAGACCAGTAGGAATTTGATCAAAAATTACATGGTTTCACCAACACATGTAGTTTCCCAGCTGCATATCTTCCGACACTGGTCAGACTATGGTCAGCCATTTAGGTGGTTATTCGGATCCGACAACAGTGTGGGCATGTGGTCAACCACAGTCACCAAGCGACTTGTATATTTCTACTAGAAGTCTCACTTCAATTTCGGTAGCATGGTTGGCGCCCTTGGACGACGGTGGATGCTCCATCACATCGTGAGCATGGGACTCACTTGGGAGGTTGTGATGGTGGTCATCGGCTCAGGTACGTGGTCCGCTGGGACGGCATCGACTATAGTATTGCGGCGACTACGGCGTACACGGCTGGTGGTCTGACTGCGGAGTCGCGGCACACTGTGCAGGTGAGGGCGGTCACCAAGGGTGGTCTGTCGTCATGGACCAACGAGGCGGCGGTGTGGGCTCAAACGCCGCCCTCGGCAGTGGTTGGTCTCAACGTATCGTACAGTAATCGGACTGGTGTTGGTCTCACGTGGTCGGCTCCATCCGGTGGGGGCAGTGTTAAGGTATATACTGTATTCATGGACGATGGCCTTGGTGGGAGCGTGGACCGTGAGGTGGCCAGTCTTGGTCCATCGGCGACCTCTGCTGACATCGACCTTGGTGATGGTGTGGTCGGTGGTAGGCGCTATTGCTTTGCTGTAACGGCTGATAATGAGGGCACGATTGGTGATGGTGGTGGAGGAGTGGTATTGGTTGAGGCCACGATGACCACCAGCGATACTGTATGTGCGTATGCCTCGGAAGGGCCCTCGAGTCCGCAGAATGTTCAACTGATCAGAAGCGCCACTGGGGAGATGACGGTTCAGTGGTCCGTGCCGGCCGATGATGGTGGTCTGACCATACTGCAGTACGAGGTCGAGGTCAAGGACCATGCCCTGGCCTATTGGGTTGTGATCGGGACCACCAGCTCGACCACTCTGAGTGCCGTGTTCGACAGTTGTACCATGGGGAATCTTTATTCCTTCCGGGTGCGTGCTGAGAATCTCGTTGGGTGGTCGGAGTATAGCGCGGTGGTCACGGGCTACTGTGCGCAGCCTCCTGGTGCTCCTGTGAATTTGGAAAGGGTGAACTCCAGTAAGAATCATGTTGGTCTTGGATGGGACTCCCCTGCTGAGACCAACGGTGCATCGGTGGTCAGCTATAAGGTGTACGCACGGTCCAGTCTTGGGACGGGAGCAGCTTTCGTGGTCCATGAGGGGCCAGCAGGTGAGCGGTATGTTGAGCATAGTAGTGGTGTGGTAATGGGAGCTGAGTATACGTATTGGGTGACAGCGAGCAATGAGGCCGGCGAGGGTGCGGAGTCGAGCACGATCACTGTGGCGGTCGCTGGACCACCGGGACCACCTGTGAATATTCAGGTGGCGTCGAGGTCGCTCACGAACATATCATTTGTATGGGACGCCCCGACTGATGATGGCGGTAGTCCGATCACACACTACGAGCTGTACTATGGTACCACGTCTGGTTCTGTCACGACTCGGGCGTGGCTGGGCAGTGGGACTGCCTCTGGCACCATCTACCTTACTGCGGGTCCCCTGTACTACTTCCAGGTGACCGCTTGTAATGTGGTGAGCCTATATTCGTCCAGCAACTGTACGCGATCGTCTGTGGTGGCTGAGTACGTGGGCACTGTGGTTCCGGTGGTACCGTCCTTGGAACTGGTCAGCACCAGTGGCGACTCGATCACGGTGCAGTGGTCTGAGGCTTCTGATGATGGTGGCAGTCCGGTGGTCACATACCGTGTGTATGTAGACGATGGGTACGGCGGTGTTGTGTCGCGGTTGGTCTGTGATGTTCTTGGTCCGCGACTGTGCATAGCTGATGGTCTCAGTGGTGGTAACGAGTACCGCTT